CCTAAATAGTAGAAACACGTCAGAGCCCGAGAAAAGAAATGTGCCAGGTACTTCAAACTATTAACTACAAAAAGAAGAATATCAGGATAAAGGAATAAAGATTTCTCTCACTTATGAACCAGATGTTCACGAGAAAACCGAAAGCCCAAAATGGAGTCACTTGTGCTAAACACCCAGAATACTGAGCCTACATTTCATAACTGACCTAATTGCCCAGGAATTCCCCAAGAATGTCATCTTAATCAGTCTGGAATTTTCTGGTGAGAACCAATGAGGTAATCTGTCACATGGGCCCTCTACAGCCTCCCCAGAGGAAGCTGAGGTTTCTGCAAGATAAGACCCCACCTTGTCCTAAGGAAGATAACCTTCTTCCCTGAAACCATCTTTTTACTTGTGCTGAACACTTTCATATCCTGTCCAGTTTCTGCCTATAAAAGCCTTTAATTTGTATAGCTTCTTAGAGTTCCTCTCTAATTGCTAGATGGGATGCTGCCTGATTCATGAATTACTCAATAAAGCCAATTAGATTTCACACTGACCAAATTTTTGTTCTTTAACACAGGAAAAAATATTATCTTCTATGTTTATTTTTATTGTTTCTTTGACTAAATAGGTAAGCAAGTATTGTCTCTCAGGCACCCATGATTATACATTATTTTTTTATTTGAACTTTTAAAGTTTTTATTTAATTTACTGAGGTGGCATCACGATCAGAATGACCGGTTGCTTTGATGCACACTGTGGCCCCAATAGCCCGCCCCCTGACACCTGGACCAGGGGCGGGGCTGGCCAGCCAACCTCCCGCAGCCCCCTCCCCACTGGCCAACTGCCCATGGTCCCTCCCGCTGGCTGGCCCGGCCCCAATCGGACCTCCCACCCCGATCAGGGTGGGCTGGCCGGACCCCACCTGTGCACAAATTCATGCACCAGGCCTCTAGTTGATTAATAAAATTATATATAAGTTTCAAGTGTATAATTCTATATTGTATTGTGTGTTCACCACCCCAAGTCTAGTCTCTTTCCATAACCATTTATCATCCTTTCCCATGATTCTACTTTAATCAAGCCACATATCTTCTAACAACTCTCAATTTTGCATTATCCTAATATCCTAAATATAAAAATATAAAACTTTTTACAATATTTTACACTAAAATTATCTTTGTAATTTCTCAGTGTGCCCCAAGAAAACAAAAAAGATTTGTTACTTCTACCAGATTATTGCTGCTAGAAAGAATTAGGTTTATTTGATAAGTTACTATTTGTAAGAGCGCATTGAAAAAGCTGTCAAACCAAGAAAAACAGGTATCTTTCTTAGATTAAGTTTGTAAAGTGTTATTAATAAATATTTCAAAAATTTTGTTTTGTGAGAAAGTCCCTAGAGATGTGTCAATGTTCTCACTGTCCTTTATATTTTTACCCTCAGGGAAAATAATTATTTTCATGAAATAGTTAGATACAGACAGTCCTCGGGTTACATCAGACTCGACATACGTTGTTTTGTGGTTATGTAGCCATCTCCCATTTATTTATTAAAAAAAAAAAAAAGTTCTGTCATTTCAATGTATTTACATATGTGCTTTATGTTTTTTTATTATTTATTTACCACAAGTAAAGGTCAGGAATTGTTATCTTTCTTTTAAATTTTTTTTACTGTTTCACTTCATTATTGCAGATGTGTGTGTGCTCCATGTGAGTGATGTAGGTGCTTATGTAGGTGGGTTCTGACTTACAGCGAAAATCACATTACATCGCGCCGTAGGAACGGATTTCCAACGTAACCCGAGGACCTACTGTACTGTACTCCAGTAGAGAATATTACATTTCCCCATTCTATTATTAATTTCAGTAACAAATTCACCACAGCCATTGAGTCTCTGTTTTCCACTGATAACTGTTATTTTACTCTGATATTTCTTTAAAAGCTCTGCCACAAGCTGTAGGCCAGAGTTTGTGTCTTCAACAAAAGAGAGGTTCAGAGTCTGAGAAAAGGAATGTACCAGGTACTTCAAACTATTAACCCCAAAGGTCAGAATATGAGTACAGGCTCTTCGGGTGATATCTCTCAAACAACTCTTGTACCATCTTTGAGTGAAGATTTCCAGGACCCTTTTTAATCTACCAGCAAACACCTTCATAACAGTAGACAGCTAACCCAATCTCAGCTAACACAAAAGAAGTAACAAAAATTACATAGTACTGAATGAACTAATGATAGAAAGTGTATTTGATTGGAATATTGTTGATACTATTTTAATGTTTTATTTTCTTTCTTCTAAAGCTTTCTATAACCAAACTACCAGTAAACTTTGCTTCTATAAACCAAAATGAGACATTTAAAATACTCCCACTAACTCTCAGATTTCAGAAACTCTTTAGAGAATCTCCTTTTCTTTTTAAAATATTTTATTGATTTTTTTAGAGAGGAGGGCGGGGTGGCAGATGGAGAGGGAGAAAGAAACATCAATGTGAGATCAAAACATTAATCAGCCGCCTCCTGAACTCCCCCTACTGCGGATCAAGCCCGAAACCCAGATGATAGCGCCAGCAACCTTTTGGTGCACTGGACCACACCCACCAACTGAGCTACACAGGCCATGGCAAGAATCTCCTTTTCATAGCAATAGAAATATTTGCATAGATTCAATAATAATCCGTCCTCCTTTTCATCAGGACATAATTGGACAAACGTATTAAGCAACAAATGTTTTACCTGGAGTGTCACATTTGAGAACAATGCTCATTTAAACAGGTATAACAAGGTTAACTTTACTTATAGATTCAATTCCTACAAAGCCCTACCAGGAAAACTGGCCAGGGCCCTGGCTTATAAGGGCTCAGCCTTACAGGTGATAAGGAAGATCACTTCACAGCAGGGCAGGAACCTTGAAAATTTGAGGGATATTTAAGGATACTAGTGTACATAAAATCTGACAGTGTCCTGGGCTTGCTTTCTCAGGGTAGCTGAGAAAAACAAATTAACAGTGGCTTTTAAGTGTCCTAGCTGAGATTCCTTATGAAAAGTTACAGTCACAGTTAATTTTGTAGGCTCAGTAGTTATACAATTGTATATAGCTTACAGATATGCAAAAACAAACTCAAGGAGCTCTATGAGATTAATATTCTTGCTGCATCTATGAAAATAATCAGCCATACGTCATAATGAGACCAGTTTTTTGTGGGGATCAAGAAAAATCTTTAAGATTATTACGATCACAACCCTCCAAAAATCTTTCCAAAACCATTTCTTCTAAACAATTCAAACACAAATATAATTCCCCAATAAACTTAGGAACATGTGATTATCTATAATAGTTAAAAATATAAAATTAAGGCCCTGGCCAGGTAGCTCAGTTGGTCAAAATAGTGCTGATATGCCAAAGTTGCAGGTTCCATTCCCTGTCAGGGTACGTACCAGAAACAACCAATAGAAGATGGTGGCACCGGAAATTGCTGCCTCGCACAACCACTTCAAAAATACAACTAAAAGACAAAACGGACATCATCCAGAACCACAGGAAGGCTGGCTGAGTGGAAATTCTACAACTAGAAGGAAAGAGAAAAACACACTGAGACTCAGAGGAGGTGCAGAAGTACGGAGGCGCATGTGGAAAAGGCTGGCAACTGAGGACTCAGTTGTCTTTTTCAATTGGGAGGGAGTCTCAAGCTCCCAACGGCCCTGAAATCCAGTTCCAGGTGAGTCTCTGGGGACCCAGACTCATACAGGGAGAAACTGGACTGTCTGGCATGGGTCGGAACTCAAGGTTGGCTTTCTCTCAGAGGTGCTTGCAGCGATTACCAGGACACTGAGACACAGGGCCTCTTAGGGTAGGGCTGAGGATCAGCCATAGCTGTTTGCTCTGCTCTGCTGATCCCCTGAGACCCTGCCCCACCCAAGCTGTGTGCAGAGGCATTTGCATGTGAAAGGCTTGGCCCTTTGCAATCTGAAAATTACCTAACAAACTGCAGCTGAGTCAGAGAGACCCAGAACTTCCAAAAGAAGGCCCAAAGCCCCACAGCAGCTTGCATTGCTTCACAGCTGGGCCTCATCTGGGCACCTCCAAATCCCAAACAAAGAAGAGGAATCTGCAGATCTCTCCGTAGCTGCTGCTGGGTAGCCTCAGGTAGAGGCTAAATTAGCACCTCCTTAGAGATCCAAGAGCCAGTGTACCCAGTGGTCAGAGTGGGACCATCCAGATTACAACTCCTCAGATCCATAAGGGACACACTCAGGGGGCAGACTCAGTGAGCACCAAAGCCCCACTGAAGCAAGTCTTGCCCCAGAAGGGTGTCTTCAGCACAGAAGTTCTCCCACTGCAGACACAGCTGATTCTCACAGCCAATTGGCCTGGAGGTCAATTCCTCCCAGTGATACCTACAAAAATCAAGGCTTAACTACAACAAGACTGTACACAAAGCCCACAAAGGGGTGCACCAAGAGTGTCCACCTCAGGTAATTGGGTAGGCGGAGCCACTGGGCCCTATAGGACACCTAGCACACAAAGTCACTCTACCAACACAGGGAAGCATAAAAAATGCGAGACAAAGAAACAGGTCACAAATGACAGAAATGGAGGAAAGCAAACTACAGGATCTAGAGTTCAAAACCACACTTATAAGGTTTTTCAAGAATTTTCTAGAAACCGCTGTAAATTTAGTGAGACCCTCAAGAAATCTAGTGAGGCCCTCGAGGATATGAAAAAGGACCAACTAGAAATTAAGCATACACTGACTGAAATAAAGAATATTGAGCGGCCTCCTCGGGACCCGCGAGCCTCCCCCCGGGCAGGGGGCGGAAGGCCTCGCCACGGAGGGCCCTGGAAAGGCCCCGAGGCGGGTCCGACGGTCGCCACCGAGTTCCTTTCTCTCATCTGGATTTAAAACTTGAAGCTAGAGGCGAGAGCCCACGAATAGTCTCGGCAGAGTGACTCTGCTTGGACCGGCGGTCGGAAGAGGGGCTTGTCGGACCGTTACCCCCCGCGTCTCTGTGGGCCAGTTTGCTGTGCATCCCCGCGATGGCCCAGCTCCAGACCCGCTTCTTCACTGACAAGAAATATGCAGTAGATGATGTTCCCTTCTCAATCCCTGCAGCTTCTGAAGTTGCTGACCTTAGTAACATCATTAATAAATTGCTGCAGGCTAAAAATGAGGTCCACAAACATGTGGAGTTTGATTTCCTTATCAAGGGCCAGTTTCTACGAATGCCCTTGGTCAAACATATGGAACTGGAAAACATCTCATCGGAAGAGGTTGTGGAGCTAGAATACGTGGAGAAGTACACTGCACCTCAGCCAGAACAATGCTTGTTCCATGACGACTGGATCAGCTCAATCCAAGGGGCAGAGGAATGGATCTTGACTGGTTCTTACGATAAGACTTCTCGGATCTGGTCCTTGGGAGGAAAGTCGATAATGACAATTGTGGGACATACAGACGTTGTAAAAGATGTGGCCTGGGTGAAAAAAGACAACCTGTCTTGCCTACTGCTGAGTGCCTCTATGGACCAGACGGTCCTCCTGTGGGAGTGGAACGTGGAGAGAAACAAGGTGAAAGCCCTGCACTGCTGCAGAGGCCACGCTGGGAGTGTGGACTCCATAGCTGTCGATGGCTCGGGGACTAAATTTTGCAGTGGCTCCTGGGATAAGATGCTAAAGATCTGGTCTACAGTCCCTACAGATGAAGAAGATGAAATGGAGGAATCCACAAATCGACCAAGAAAGAAACAGAAAACAGAGCAATTGGGACTAACAAGGACGCCCATCGTGACTCTGTCTGGTCATAAAGAAGCAATTTCCTCGGTTCTGTGGTCAGATGCTGAAGAAATCTGCAGTGCATCCTGGGACCACACAATTAGAGTATGGGATGTTGAGTCTGGCAGTCTTAAGTCAACCTTGACAGGAAATAAAGTATTTAATTGTATCTCCTACTCTCCACTTTGTAAACGTTTAGCATCTGGAAGTACAGATAGGCATATCAGACTGTGGGATCCCCGGACTAAAGATGGTTCTTTGGTGTCGCTGTCCCTAACCTCACATACCGGCTGGGTGACAGCGGTAAAGTGGTCTCCTACCCATGAGCAGCAGCTGATTTCAGGTTCTTTAGATAACATTGTCAAGCTGTGGGATACAAGGAGTTGTAAGGCTCCTCTCTATGACTTGGCTGCTCATGAAGACAAAGTTCTGAGTGTGGACTGGACAGACACAGGGTTACTTCTGAGTGGAGGAGCAGACAATAAGTTGTATTCCTACAGATATTCACCTACCACTTCCCATGTGGGGGCATGAAAGTGAATGATAAACTTGACTACAGAGATTCTGTAAATGTAATTATAGAGAATCCTCAGAGTACATCAGTGCAGATCACCCTTTATAATAGTTCTTACTGTCTTTTTATTTTGTATTTATTGTATAACAGTGTGCATTTATAAAATATAAAATGTGGCTTGCATTCTCTACCTATGTAAACTCTTGAAATAAAACTGAGTTTATTATTTCTTTTAAAAAAAAAAAAAAAAGAATATTATACAGAGTTCCAACAGCAGACTAGAGGATCACAAGAATAAAGTCAAAGATTTGAAATACGAAGAAGTAAAAAACACCCAACTGGAAAAAAAAAGAAAAAAGAAAAAAGAATCCAAAAATATGAAGATAGTGTAAGAAGCCTCTGGGACAACTTCAAGCGGACCAATATCCAAATTATGGGGGTGCCAGAAGAAGAGAGAGAGCAAGATATTGAAAACCTATTTGAAGAAATAATGACAGAAAACTTCCCCTACCTGGTGAAAGAAATAGACTTACAAGTCAAGGAAGCGCAGAGAACCCCAAACAAAAGGAATCCAAAGAGGACCACACCAAGACACATCATAATTATAATGCCAAGAGCAAAAGACAAAGAGAGAATCTTAAAAGCAGCAAGAGAAAAAAAGTCAGTTACCTACAAGGGAGTACCCATACGACAGCTGATTTCTCAACAGAAGCTATGCAGGCCAGAAGGGAGTGGCAAGAAATATTCAAAGTGATGAATACCAAGAACCTACAACCAAGATTACTTTATCCAGCAAAGCTATCATTCAGAATTGAAGGTCAGATAGAGAGCTTCACAGATAAGAAAAAGCTAAAGGAGTTCATCACCACCAAACCAGTATTATATGAAATGCTGAAAGGTATCCTTTAAGAAGAGGAAGAAGAAGATAAAGTTAAAGATACAAATTATGAACAACAAATACACATCTATCAACAAGTGAATCTAAAAATCAAGTGAATAAATAATCTGATGAACAGAATAAACTGGTGAATATAATAGAATCAAGGGCATAGAAAGGGAATGGACTGACTATTCTCAGGGGGCAGGAAGGAGTGTGGGGGGTGTGGGAAGAGACTGGACAAAAATCGTACACCTATGGATGAGGACAGTGGTGGGGGTTGGGGGGTAAGGGCAGAGGGTGTGGTGGGAACCGGGTGGCGGGGAACTATAGAGGGAAAAAAGAGGAACAACTGTAATAATCTGAACAATAAAGATTTAATTTTTTTAAAAAAGAAACAACCAATAAATGCATAAATAAATGGAACAATGAGTTGATGTTTTTCTCTTACCTCTCTAAAATCCATAAAGCAGTAAAAAATAAAATTAGTTAAAATATACAAATTAAAATGAAGTTATTCCCATTAAGAAGACAATTTGAAAAACAAACATTTTTAGAGTCCAGTGGCAGAAGTATTAAATGGTACAATTCCTTCTGAAAAGCTTTTCTGGTTATATGAAGAAAACCTTAATATCTGAATAAGAGAGCATCCATCTGCATTATCAAACTCAAAAAAAAACCACCAAAAAGAGCCAAAACCAGTGGTTGGAATGCCATCATCAAAAAAGAAGCCAGGGAAAAGAACAATTATTATAACAAGACTGATTCCACAAACATATACCCCAAGGTACTAAAAGGTACAGATTTTAGGAAATAAATGAGAATATTATGTAACGTCCCATCCCATAACCTGCAGAATTAAAGTTTAGGAACATGGAAGGCTTATAAGAGAAGTGGGGATCACAAAGCTTGGGACCCCTGTTCACATAGCAAAAAACATCAAGGGCTACCTTTAGCCTCATTTTTTTAATTTCCCTCAACCTATTATTAGGGTTGAAAAGGAGCCAGCTTTGCAGGTGATGATCAAATTTGACTAAGCAGACATAAGTAAGCACTGACTCACCATACAAAACTCATAATCCACAGTATTACAGGGTGGCCATTTCCCAACCCCTCCCCCCCCCCCAACACACACACACACATCTGCCAGTATGCCAAGCTCTCCGTGAAACATGGGAACTGCCTACATCAAAGGCTGATCTTCAAACATAAAATCACAGGTATACTCATAAGACAGACCTCAAGAGATTCAGAGAAAAAGTTTTAGGAGAAAACATTTTCGATCTCTATGTATGTTGCCCAGTTCACCATGTTGTTTGCCTCAAATATTAAAAACCAGCAACATCTAAGTATTTTGCTACAAGAAGCAGAAGCAAAACAACAAAAAATTGACAATAGTTTAAAAAGTTGGCCACCAGTTATCTACTTCAACATTCCTTATAATAGAGATTTTACTAGCAGAGTATACAAATGGAAATGTGATATAGATAACAAATGTTGATGGGAAATTGGGCCTTAACATGTGCATTAAAGAACAATTTTACTAGCAAAAAAAAAGGAAAAAATCACGTCAAACAAAAATGGAAAATGTTTTTTAAAATCTAAATAACACCCATGGACACAGACAATAGGTTGGTAAAGGCCTGGGTGGGGGGCTGGGGCAGGTAGAAGGGAAAAAAGGGGAACATACGTAATACTTTCACCAATAAAGATTTAATAATAATCCTATATAATAAAAGCCTAATATGCAAATCGACCAAATGGCGGAACAACTGGTGGAATGACTGGTTGCTATGACGTGCACTGACATAGGGGGCAGACGTTCAATGCAGGAGCTTCCCCCAGCCCGCAGGTCCCAGGCCAGCCAATGCGGGTGCCAGTGGGCCCCCCGGACCAGATGACCCCACTGGTCACCCCGCAGAGGCAGGCAACCAGCGGTGGCGGCGGGGGCCAGGCCCAGTGACCAGGTGGTGTTAGGCTGGCCAAGGCAGGAACCAGCAGAGCCCCCCTGATCGTCCCACCAGTTGCCCCACAGATCAGAACTGATTGCTGACCAAGCCTAGGGACCCTACCCGTGCATGAATTTCATGCACCCAGCCTCTAGTAAAATATAAAATCTAAATAACTGGGCAAGTTAATTTTCACATGTCTGTAAATAAAGAAGTATTAAAATACAAAATAGCCTGACCAGTGTAGCTCAGTGGTTGAGTATCGAACTATGAACCAAGAGGTCATGGTTTGATTCCCAGTCAGGGCAGTATGCAGGGAGTATGCAGGAGGCAGTTGATCTATGATTCTCTCTCATCACTGATGTTTCTATCTCTCTTTTCCTCTCCCTTCCTCTCTGAAGTAAAATATACATATGTATATATATTTAAAACGGTCTTTAAAAAATGCAAAATAATTATAGTAAATGTAATACAAGTATATCATTAATACTTAAAAGAATTTGTAAATATCATATATATACACTAAGATTTCAGTGCAATAACAAGCAAATGTCAAAGAGAAATACAACAGGTTAAGATACTGACAAAAATGCTCACTCTAGTCACATAAATGCAGATTAAATAAGGTACAACTTTTCACAATGGAATTAGCAAGAACTAAAAATGACGCATATACCCAATGCAATGAAGGTATGGTAAAATAGGTGCAGTTATATATTGCTAGAGAGATATAAACTCATATAATTCTTTCAAAAGCCAAGTTCATACTACATATATTAAGAACCTTAAATTATCCCAAGCCCTTGACCTAGTAATTGTATTTCTGGGAATTTATCCCATGAAATAATGCAAACAACAACAAATAAAAGCATTATGCATAAAAATGTTCATAGAAACATTATTTATAAAAGTAGGAAGGAGAGAATCTATCTATCAATATGCACATGTTGCACTATTAGCATTATATTGGGACACAGAGAAGAGGCAAATAACCGTGTGGTGAGGAAGAGGGTTGGAAGGATTTCACAAAAGTAACTCTTCACAATAGTATTCAAAAATAAGCAGATTTTACCAAGAAAAAAGAAGGAAAATATGAATTGCATACAGAGTACATCGGGTGCAAAATCATGGCATCATGAAATTCTATATTCAAGTATGGCATATCTGTAATATGTTTAGAACATGCTGCTTCCTATCTCCCAATGGTTTTCAGAAACTGATGTTTTCCAGTGGTACAAACACACACAGAACAATAAACACAAATATAAAATATTAGGCTAGCTGGATGTGATTATTCATCTATGTATAATTTTTTATACCAGGAGGCATGTAAAAGGCTTTTAAAAAACAGATGGGAGTTTGTCTTAAGCTAAACTCATCATGAGGTTGTATGATGTATTAGAAAAAACCTCTAACTACTGACAAGTGGTAAGCCACAGCCCATCTCTCTAGTTCTCACTTACATCATCTTAAAAGGAGAAAATAAGTGTTCAACTACATCAAATTATTGTTATAGTCATGTGAAATAGATTTGAACATAAGGTAATACAATCTCCTACCTCCACAAACTAGCTCAACCTCATTCCTTTAAATTATTATGTACCTGATATTTATCCCTCTGCCCATACACATTGCTACTAGTCTAGTCATTACCAACTGACACCAATTTCTACAATAAACACTGGTCTTTCTTTCCATTTAACAGATTTCTTCCAATTCTATCTTTCTAAAACAACTTTTTAATCATGTCACAACTCTGCTTAAATATCTATTAGCTAACCCAAATTTCCCTTTCTAACTTTCTCATTATTTTCAAACAAATTTTAGGTAGGTTTCCTTCCATCCATTTCTTTGTTCAGATTGCCATTCTAAGATAAAGTATCTACAACCTCCTTTAAAGCCCAACTGAAATTGAACCCCTTTAATTCCAACCATTTTTCCCCTTTACATTTAGAGATATCAATAGCAATACTTAAGCATATGAACTATCCTGAACCATGCTACCTTCACATACAGTATAAACTCATATTACTGGGGGTAGGGAAGTGTGGGTAATATCTAGTAGGTAGGTTGTATTAAAATATAGTAAATATTAACTTTGACATGGACCACACTAGAGATGAATATACTGTTTCTCAATAAGTCCAGATAAGTCCAACACAACCAATCTGACCACTAGCATTAAAACGAGTATCATTTACTGAGCTCCAGATACTCATAGCTGGCCTGCCATTAGGAGCTATGATACACAAAAAATATTTATATTAAGACCTAAAAGCCACATTTACTGTAACACACTCACACTGCAAGAGCTATTGAGGAACAGAAAGCACCTGATTCATGTATCCCACTTAGACCAGAAGTTCACTGAGTAAATGATGGCCATTAAAATTGTCTTTCCT